CGGATTCCACACAAAGAAGTTTGATACCTTTCTAATCATTTTGGATTTCGGCATTGCCATGGTGTATCCTTGAACGGTTATTATGAGGATACAGTACTCATACAGTACTGTTTTCGTGTGTGCTTTGAAGTATCCTCGCAATAACCTCATATTACTTCAGTATATTGATGTTATTAATTCATAGATTTGATTGGTCCAAGACAAAACTTGCATATGCAATTAAGGGTATATTGGTTGATAATGAACACTTACGCTAAACAAATTGGCCACGGAATACATACGTAAATATATAAAACCGGTATTATTTGATTTAAGGGAAATTTACTGGATGAAATTTTGAAAAATATTGAAAAAATCACCTAATTAAAAACATCGAACAAATTATATAACCCTAAATGGATGGATTGCGAACCCCCAACAAAGAAAATAAGATTTGTGAGTCTAACTGCTCACCAACTAGATCACCCAACAAACAACTAGAAATGTTTTCATTTCGCTGGTAAGACGATACAGTTTACAACGCTGTTTCCATTTGTTTTAAAAAGACTGGTTAAGATCAACTGGGAAGAACCCGGTTTTTGAGTATCCGAGTTTTGTAGATCTCAACAATGTTTTAGACAGTGTTATGCTGAGATGCATAGTCAAGCAGAAGAGAAGTACGGGAGATCGTGTTTCAGTGCAGTGCGAGCGGTGATCAACCAATACATAAAATCACCATCATATAATCGCAACACTGCCAACAACACCTTCAAAAGTTTAATTAAACAGCGTAAACTCAAATGCCTTGATAAAGTTTAATAAAAAAAGCTATCTGCAGGGGAGATTTGAAGAAGTTTGCCGACACCATCGACGTGTAACCCCGTTAGTCTAATTATAACATGTGGCCGGAAAATATGTGAATGATAACAAAGAATTAGTGCAGGAAAACAATCTAAGCTAGTGGAATGAAATTCATTGAACACAACCAGAAATGAGTGGACAAGATGGCCGACTTCCGCCCTGGCCAGTGTTCCCCAGTCAAATAAACATCACAGGATGTGCCATAGAGAATGCATTGCATAAACATATATTAAAACAAAATTTAATTTTGAGTTTATATTTTTCATTTTTTTCACTTTTGTGTGCTTCGTAATAGACAGGTGACGTCCAAGATTTCGATATGTTATAGATGTTTCCATTAAAACTCCACCATTAAATGCCCAACTTGCCGTAAAACCTGATAATAAATTCTACACTGGCCCAGTGTATTACCAAGGGACGATATGTAATTGTGTGCCAGACTTTTTAAAAATAGGAAAATGCAGTGACGCAGGTGACTGTTCAAGTTTGAACACGGCGACGCAGCTGACGCAGTTGTAGACGCAGTATTCACTGCCCAAATTAGAGTTAAAATTCATGCATTTTTTACACAGATGTACGATCCGGTTGTTAGCAAATATAACTGTTTTAATCCAATTAACAACAGGAAGTAACCTGAATCAAGATTTATTTTATGTCCATTATTTCATGTTAAAAATTATCCAACTTTTCGAACGTGAACCACTATCACCATATTGCTTTTGGTGCTGAAGGTCAGGCCGCAAGATCAATATATTGTATCGGCCGTTTTTCCTCTTTATAAAGAAGGGGTTTCATCACACTGTCTGTCCGTGAGTTGTGTATTATTCCACGACAGTCTCGACTTTTGTCTTGTAATGCGTCAGACAAACGTAATTTGCATACCAATCGCCGTTGACAACCACAATGATATTTACAAGATTAGTCTGTCCACATATTTTTGTATTAAGTATATAACAGGTGACTGTCTTCAATGCCATCTTAAGAGTGTACCTAAGGGTATATTGTCCTCTGGTAACCACAACCATTTATTACATGGCTTCATATGATCAGCTGACAAATACAAGTAGGCACAGAACAAATGAAACAAAAGATTACCTCACTTACTATTGTTTCCAACCCCAAGCTAAACAATAGACATTTAAAGTCTATGACATCATCCGTTGCCTTGAATAATTTTGCATGTAATTATAGTCACTGCAATTGGATAGACAGGAAATCTCTACTTGACCAGATTCTATTGTCTATTTCTAGAAATGTATGCGTTCAAACAAAAACCAAAAAATACATTCCAACATTGACTACGAGGCAAAGGCAAATAAACAAAGTTGTTATTGAATTTGAGCTGCATTGCGTATGTATAATTTGTGTACATTCAGTGTAAAACTACATACTGTTCTTTTTATAAATATCCGTTATCAAGGTCTTTAATCATAATCTTATAGTGGATGCAAACTTTTATTTTCACTAGTTTTTTTGAATTGTCAATATACTTGTATAAAGTAATAGCAATGACAATCACCGAGGTCGGATATACCGCTCAATATTACACAATTCACTTCATATATGCTTTGTAAGCGGCTCCTGCACATATGAATTATGCAATATATTATGATATACCCGTCCTTGGTGGGGGTATTACTAAAATATATTATCATACGTTTCATGAACGATAATGATATTCCATTTGTTTCTATGAGTAGATTAGATGTATATTAATGAAAGTTATTGATGACGGATGGTCGTCGCGCCACATTACGTCACATCGACCAAATGATTGTGTGTAACATTTTAGGTGTTACACATGTTGATAATAAACTCTTTTCTGGGAGAATAATTATAGCACGCAGTAATTATTTTGTTCAACAGAGAATATGCACAACTGTTGCACCAGTAACGTTTGATCGAGGTTTAGCTTCTACACTTTTCAAAATTAATCACGATGTTAATCCTAAGAATAGTCACAAAGTCATTTACCGAAGCCCCAAGCTTTATCCGTATGACGACTATAATCGATTTTCCATGGACTGGATAGGAATTGTAGACGAGTTGGAGTGGTCACATCAACATACTGAATATGAACCTGTTAGAATCAATATGAGCGAACCGTTTGATATCGGTAATGGTTTTCGTGGACTAACATCAGCGAATAACACAAGGTAAGTATTTTCCCAGACTAATCGTCCATGAACGTATATTTAATCACGAACGATTGATGTTCAGTTAGTAATATGGAATCAAGTCATGATAATTCTAAATACAGTGAGTAATATGTATACAACATATTTTTCATTTTGATTTAAAAAGCAGTATTTTGTGCATATATATATATATATATATATATATATATATATATATATATGTTACACCGCATATATATTATGCACAAACAACACCGCTTTTTTACTGACCGGCAGCATTCTGGTATCACTCATGTCAATAAAACCAATAACATGAACAGAACAATAAATGACGTAGCTAATGTCCAGATTACAGTTTGTGTTGGCTTTATGTTTGTGATAGCGTTTTTTTAATGAAATTTACAAGCTTGGGAATATAAGCTTCACAAACCATATTTACTTACCACTGTATTATGTCAAACTATCAAGTCTTATAAATAATTAGATTTGTTTGGGATAATTTCAAAAACTAAAAAAGATATTCATTTAAATTTAAGTCCCTATTCCGAATCAAGTATTTAAAACATAACCCATGTTACAATTCTCACGAAGCATCTAACAAAAACAGCATTGTATTACCCAGATGTAACACTTTGCGTGACATGTTAATTATTTTGTATAATTTTCGTAATTTTCATCAGGGATTTGTCTGATTTGCTTTTGTCGCATGAATGAACAACAGTCTACATAGTTGCTTCTTTAGTGTGATACTTGGTTTAAAAATGCAATAATTCGCAATAAAATTAACTCACTTATTTAATTGTTTTCTAATTATGATTGTAACTTCGATTCACCTTCTTTTTAGGGTAACATTGTATGGCAACAAACATGACATCGAAAAAGGAAGTTTTGTTCATGTCGTCATAGTAACTTTAGATTATTATGGTAGGAGTAGAGACATGGGAGGGGATTTCTTCTTAGCATATATGTCCAGCGATTCGCTAAATAAGAGTACAGCTGGACGTGTGGTCGACTATGGTAATGGTACTTATTCGGTCTATTTCTTTGCTGCTTGGGCCGGTGACGCATATGTTCATATCGGTCTGAGATTCAACAGGGAAGGTGTGCTATTTCTGGAAAACGTAATTAAAAACAAAGAGAAACTCATAACATACACAGCTAATTACACAAACGGCAGTGTGATTGATATCAGACCATGTGCATTGGTTAACGAAGGTATGTGGACTAATCAGTGTGAATATGGCAATCGGCATGCAATGGGAAAAACGGTTATAATATGTGAAAGACCCCAGAACTTCAACTGCGACCAGCTGGAAAATATTACTGCAAAGATTACAAACATGAATAAAATAGCTCGTGCGATGATCACTGATGTAAAATATATTTTCGACGGGTGAGTTGTTTTGATTTCTGTGTTTTATTGCTTTAATTTACCAAGCTGCCAACAAAAGTAAAAAGTGCACAAAATTAGATCTCTTATTTATCCAAGCATTTATGCACGATCTATATTTTTCAATTCGACATAAATATGACAGAACCATTGGAGTTGTATATGGGCTACAAACAATAATATTTCTATCAATGTTTATATTTATATTATGTATTTTAAAGGCATATAATCTGCAAACAACTCTCACAACACACAAAACACACACACATATTATACGTTTTGAAGACATCCACTTTCAACCTGTATAAAATTAGTAGTCTTTAATGACAACGATAACTCAATAATGAATTGCATTTAATTGTCTACATTGATATGTGTTACCCTCCCCAAGTAATATTACATTTGTTTTTACATTCTTGACACAATTATCATTCTAATATATTGTGCATGCACTGGCAGGGTGAACGTGAAAATCCTGATAACTGTCGAAGCAGTTTATTGCCGAGAATTAAAAAAAAGTTTACATCGTCTTTTTAGTTACCTCAAAACAATCTTGCTTGTCCCACATATACCAATGGGAGACAATTACAGGGATAGCTCATCATCCACAATGAACTGCATACGCTAATATGCAATATGCTATGATTCAATATGCTATGACGTTTTACGAATGAAATGAGTTTCAAAGCTTATGATCTTAATACAAAGCATCTGTAACTATATCTATAATGTGACACTTTTACGGAAATAAATAACATTATGAGAACGTTGAATTCCATAAAGCATTCAGAACCGACCAGACACTTTTGGATTGAGGTAGCGCTTTGGCCCGCTGTGTGTTATAAGTATTCGTGTGCATTGTAGAATTAACAGTGTCAGATTCATAATCACGATTGGTGAATTGCATTATACTATCGGAAGTGTGTGGACAGGTGGCATACTCGTTGAAGAAGCAATAACAACTTGAACCGAAAGACGACTGTTTTGATTTTCTGAGGAAGGAAATGAACCGGAAGTTATCCTAAACAAACCTGAAGGTATGATGATACTGTTACTCTGTGTAGTGTAATTGATAGAGCCAGCGTCGGCAGTTGTGTACTGCATTGATATTTGCAGCGGCCTCCATTCATTTCTTTATGTGCGGGATGACTGATTAAACTCAAGTTCATAAATTTATTGATTCAAATATCGCATTGCTTGAAACAATAATGATAATTAACTCAACATTACTCACTGCATGTTTATAATATTATACTATTCAGATTTTAAGAGAAATATTCGGAGTTAATTCTGTCCTGTTAATATGGGTTATTATTAGTTCAGTGCCCTCGTCTTCTTTGCGAGAGGAACTTTGGTTTAATAGGCAAATATAGTTTCAAAATACCACACTATCCGTTTTTGAAGTTAAAGATGAATGAAATATAATAGATGTAGTGAAATATTCAGAGTCGAGGATTGAGTGTGAATGGGATCGCAATAGATGAAATTAATGATTTTTTATTTCCCACTATTTTTCCCCAGGAATTTGGTGTGCCCGGAGGGACTGCATCCGAGACAACAATATCACATGAGAAGGAAAGGAAAGGGTTCAAAAAGATGTTATTGTTCGTTTCAGTTAATTACTCATCTGTTTTGAAGTGTCAATGTTCACAAATATTGGGTATTGTATCTACAGCTTCACGAAAGGTTTAAATTTCAGTAAACACATTTATTCACGCGATTGATAATATCTTTTACAATAACTCTATATGTTACACTTATTTTTACTTGATTGTGTGATTTGTTTATCGTTTGTTATGATTACTGAACAATAGTGCAAAGTGCCTCATCATGAAAAGCAATATTTGATAATGTTAATGATATTTTACCATGTTATCAGTGTGAATACATTTTAAAATGTGTCTCTGTTACGTAAACTTGTCAATATTCAGTTTGTGTTTTACTTTACAAAGTGTTGCAAAGATAAACACTTTTTCAATGTATATTTCTGGTTGAAACTCGTTTCAAAATATGTGTCCAGTGAAATCACTTTTCAAAGAGTTGTGACAGTAGACACTTCATTAAAACATGTCTTCGGTTGAGACATTTTTCTACGTGTCGTGTTTATAAACACTATACAAAAATGTGTCTAGTAAAAGCACTTTTAACAGTGTTGTGATAATAAGCACGTTTTATATATGCTCCAGGTGGAAACATTTTACAAAATGTTTGACTAGTAAAAACACTTATAGAAGTGTTGTGATAATAAACACATTTTATCTATGTTTCTGGTGGAAGCAATTTACATCATCTGTGACTTGTGAAAACACTTTCAAAAGTGTTGAGATAAGAAGCACATTATATACATGTTTCTGGTGGAAACACTTTTAAAAAAAGTGTTTCTAATCATACCACTTTACATAATGTGTTATGGGCAAAAACATCCCTGAAATGTTCCAATAAAAGTGTTTTCAGAATAAACACTTTTCGCAATTATGCAGATTATAAACACTTTAAGTGTTTTTAAAGT